CTGGCGATCTTTTTTTTTTTTTTTTTTTAGGGAGGGGGGGGGGGGGGGGGGGGGGAGGGAGAAGGAGAGAATCTTAGGTAGGCTCCACGCCCAGCATGGAGCCTGACGTGGGGCTGAATTTTACGACCCTGAGATCATGACCTGCGCCGGAACCAAGAGTCGGATGCTTAACCGACTGAGCCACCCAGGCGCCCCTCTGGCAATCTTTAAGAATGTGTAAAAACAAAAATATCTATTCCGGGGACTTTTTTTTAAAGTATACTTTTATATAAGTAAAAGTTAACCTGAACAATGAATCATGGAACACTACATCAAAAACTAATGATGTGCTGTATGGTGATTAACATAACATAATTAAAAATAAAGAAAGAAAGAAACAAAATAAAATAAATAAAATAAATTGTTAAAAAATGAAAAAAAACAGAATTAATGTTGAACTCTGCATCATTATGGGTAATAAGTGATTTCCTCCTTTTGAACAGCCTTTTTAAAAAGCCCTATTCATCTTATTAAGAGATGCAGTCCGATAAAATGTTACTTTTTATGCTCAATAATAAAACGTTAACCTGAATATTTTTATACTCCTGTTTTAGCTGATTTAAGTTCCTTTATCACAGCAGTGTTGTGGCAGGAATGTAGATTTGATCCAGGCCCAAATAGTGCCAAATTGCTACAAAGCATTGCTGTGTGGCCATTAAATACCAGCCGACCCACAATCATAAAAACAAAATGTATGCTTATGATCCCTCCCCTCTTCATTTAGCCTTTTGTTGTTTGGAGACTTCAGTCTGTGTTCTTTGCTGATTATAGCTGTGGGAAAATGTGCATTTATAGCAGGAGCTGGTCGAGGTGGTCAGGGACGAGAGGAGCTCCACTCAAAAATGCTTCCCCATCCGTTACTTGTGCATCTCCTCCCACCCCCACACCAGCTCTTATTGTCTGTGCTGTGTTCTTAAAAATTTGTTTTGTTCTTGCCTTCCGTATGGACCTGATGGTGGCGAAAGGAATATTTTTTAAGATCACATATCTTTGGGGTAAATCTGCAAATGGTTAGGATTTTTAATTGCATGAGCCATAAATTCTCAGTAGAGTCATAAGCACTCTGAAATCAGCCTACAAGTTGATCATTGTTGTTGGAGACACTGGAATGACTCAGGTCCACAACGCTTTGAAAGGAGAAAAGGCTATTTTCTTAATCTCCGCAGGAAATACGTAACTCGTGCACCTCTTAGGCTTATCTAAACCTCCAACTTGGGAGGAATTAGGGAATGTGTCATTTGGTATAGTGCTGATTGCAGAATATCTCCGAAACCACAGCTCAGATTTAACCTGGAGAATTGCAGAGTTATGTATCTTTAAAAGCAAAATGCATATTTAATGCCTTACACAGTGCATTGAGGCACTTACAAAATGCAGATGAGCCCAGATTTTCATTTTTAGGAATCAGATTTATACCTAGCTCATTCTTTATGCATTAAACATTTTCATAGTGCAACTTGCCATGTAGAGCTGAAACTGTACTCATGTAATTTAGTCTTTTCAAAATGAGGTCTGTCATCACCAATGTTAGGGACACGGCTGGGATTAGGGTGAGGCGCCTGGGGTGTAGAATTTAAGGAGGTGCTCACTCACGGTGCCAGCCCTGTATTTGCGAGACCTTGAGGAAGGTGGGTGCCGCCTTAAAATCCACACCCGACGTGCTTCTCTTGCCTCAACCTTGTCCCCGCCCTGATCAGGGTCATTTGTAGGTACGTTAAAAAGGCACATTGCTGGGGCAGATCCTCAGCATACGGGTAGGGGGGGGGGGGGAGGAATGTCCGTTCTCATTTTTTTTTCTTAGTGCTTTGAATGCACATTAAAGTTTAGAGACCTTCTGAGCTTGGTTGGCCACGCTAAGGACCGACAGGACAAAAGCTGCTCTGCTAGCCTCGGGTTACAACCGGCCTGAGACGGTAGCTTAAAAATCTGCCCAATTACCCAGCACAGAGGAACAAGTAGGCCAGCCGGACCGCGCCGCTTGCCAGCCCTGGCCGTTGTGTAACTGCCACCAGGTGTCAGGCTGGAAGGCTTGGATCTTGAGAACCTGTATAGCCAGGGCGACACGTAACTGATTATGTAATTTTGAGCTGTTCCGATTTTTTTTTAGTTAAGAAATGTTTTATTGGTTCATTATTAGTTAGCTACACGTTCATTGTAAAAAAATTAGAAAATAAGTCAAAAGAATAAAATAGAAACTATCCATAACCCGACTACCCGGAGATAACCATTGTTAACATCTTAAGGTACCCTTTCAGCTTTTGGTTTTTTTTCTATTAAGTGTTTAATTCCACTCCGAAAAATCTGTCCTGTGGCATTAGGAGGGAATGTCGATGTGAGGGAATCTGTCTTAGGACCTTGATTCCCGTCCAAGTCCTGTCCAATTATCTTTGCCATCTCTATGTGGACCCTCTCCCCTTTAATCTCAGAGTTAAAGCAAAAGTCATAAGACCAGGTAAACATGTGGCTATCTGATTGGCTCTCTGTTAGAAAAGAGTGAATATCGTGTTCCTACCCAGCAAAGTCACCATCGGGTCCCTTCTTGTGATTCTGATCAAACTCCTTTGACTCTGAGGAACTGGGTTCTTTGGAGGGGACTTAACCGTTCAGACAGCTCATACCGTGTGTCCGCCACAGGTCAGACTCTGCTCCGAGTCAGAGGTACCGCTGGTAAGATGTGATTCTGCCCTTGAGAGCGTGGAGTCTGATGGAGGAGGCCGACCCAGGATGTTGTATAAGAGGGTCAGGTGCTCTAACATGTTGCGGGAATAGGGAGGAGAAACCGACCAACTTGGCTTTGGAGAGTTGAGGATGGCTTGGAAAAGGAGATGACACTTGAAAAGAGTCCAGAGAGACCTGCCTTATGGCGCCTGCCGTCTTCAGCAAGTGGCGTTCTCCTCAAGTGCCGCTGTTTTTTTGTGTTCTGCCCTACTTTCCCTCCCGATCACACAGTTGCCCATGATAATTAAATGAGACTCGCCAGATGGATGCTTTCACAAGACGATGGCTCGTCTTCTTGCTCTATTTGTGAAAGCTGGCATTGGACCCAAACTCTCAAGGATGCTCCTACCTTGAGATCGCTTTGGAGTGCCGCTCTCTTGTGCGTATGAGCCAAATGGCCTGCCCAGCCGCGGGACCAGGCTGAGTGACAGGTGGGTGTGCCACGCGTGTGGGCTCTGCTCCCCTCCAAGCCGTTTTGCCTGCAAGGAGGTGAGGTGCTGAGAAGTTGTTCTACAGTGTTCCTCGCCTTGAAGAAATAAGCTCCTAAGCTTCTGATCTGTTGGTCCTGCCTTTTTCTCACCATGTATGTTTTTCCTATCAGTTGCAACATAATCGAGGTCGGATTCCCAATGCATCGGGTTAAAACACAACCACATTAGTTATCACACTATCTTAAGCAATTTCTAGATCACTGAAGAGCCTGTTCAGAGTGGCAAATACAGTTAATTTAATTGGTAGCAGACTTGATTAACCAAGGGTAGGTACTCTGAATTGAAAATAATAGCTGAATCATTAATAAACTAGTAATTAATAAATCTGTTTCCTGTGAATCCTTTTTCCTTCTTTGTGTACTTGGGTACTGTTGTTATTCCCATGTGACACATGAGGACACTTGATGGAGGGCAGAGGATTGATGAGCGTGGGAGCCGTGGTGCAGGTTCGCCCCCCCTGCGTGTGGCTCCCAGAGTTCTGCCCTGAAGCCATACTGAGGTTTCGGGGTGAGTGCATCCCCCACCGCTGCCATCAGATCCTTACGGCTTAGCTTACTCATTCTCAAAGGGTTAGGATCCTTCAAATATATTTCCAGTAGAACAACAGAATGTAATAGGGACACCTGGGTGGCTCAGTCGGCAGTCGGCAGTGGTTAAGCATCTGCCTTCGGCTCAGGTCATGATCCCAGGGTCCTGGGATCAAGCCCCCTCATCGGGCTCCTTGCTCAGTGAGGAGCTGAGCCAAGTTACCAAAAAGTAATGATCTACTTCTCCCTCTGCCTCTGCCCCTCCCCCTGCTCATGCTCTATCAAATAAATAAAATCTTAAAAAAAAGAACAACTGAACATATTAAATTCATTTTCCTTTCACTTTAGAAAATAATCTCAAGAATTTGCAGTGCTTTAGGGCACTCTTGATTGAATACCAGTTGATTATTGTCGTTACCCAGAAATGTCAAATTAGAGCATTCCTGCTGATACAACTTAACTTTTTCAGTTGATTGTACACAGGTTTAGACATACGTATGAATAAAACTCTTGGGCTGGTTTCCTGTTACAATTTTTCTGTCCATATTTTGCATTTGAAATACAAATTTGGAGTTAAAAGCCCATATTGTATTTTACTCTTATGTTTTGGCTTCTCTGTAAATAGGGTGATTCACTTCTTTTATTTCCACCCACTCCCTTCTGCCCCCCCCCAAAAGACATTCCTGTGTGTGGCGTGGGGGGGGGGCAGGGAGAGCTTCTCTTTTCCTGTAAGTCCTCTTAATTTTATCCACTCAAGTCTGCACCATAACTTGAAATTCCTATGGCAGATTCAGTAATTTGAAATTCTGATGGCAGGAATCTTAAACAGGATTTCCATCTTCACAACAGTTTGGAATCCTAAAGTTTGGATTAGAAGCAGTCTTTCACATTCCCGCTCACTGGAAACAGAAACCTGGCCAGTGGTCCTGTGAACCCTGCTTCAGTGGTCCCTGAACAGGAAGTTCTCAGGGACCCCCCCCCCACATCTGCAATGTGGACAGTCTACACTGGAGTCACGCAGCTCTGTGAAAGCCTTTCCTGGTCTGACCCTCACCTCTGTCTCCCTGTGCCTGCCACTCACTGTGTCCAGTTCTCCCCTTTGAACGTGTTCCCTCAGGGTCCTCTTCAACCTCAAGGAAAGTTCTAAGGATTTGAAAACAGTGGAGGCGGGGAGTCTTGAGGTTTCCCAGCAGTCTGACGTATGGCCGTTTCTCTTTTCCTGCAGCAAAACCAGAAATCCTGACTCATGAAAGTCTCGTGAATGGCATGCTCCAGTGTGTGGTAGCAGGATTCCCAGAGCCCACAGTAGATTGGTATTTTTGTCCAGGAACTGAGCAGAGGTGAGAGGATTATTTGGGGTACTACCTGACACGAATGAGGGAAGGACTGCAATGTAGTTACATGTCAGATAGGTTGTCAGATTTTTTTTTTAAAGCTTTGTTTGATTATATATTTTTTTCTATCTGTGTAGCTTTTTATGGGGGCATAATTGCTGTATTTTTCGTGGTAGACATTAATTTTGTTTGCTGAAAAATGATTACTGAGTGACTTCTCTATTTTGGTGGTTATCTTTTGGATTTATCATGCAATTTCTAGCCTGCAGGTAGATCAAGCAATTTTCCAGGACAGGGTAATTAGATTTCCATCCTATACACAGGAGGCAATGTGTGTGGGAAATGTGGCTGTAGTTATCATGAAAAAAAAAAATTACCTCAGAAGTTAATTGCCAAGTTACCAAAAAGTAATGATCGTGCAGTTACAACATACATACGGCATTTGTAAGCTCCATGTTTTTAAAAGGTTTTCTCCTTGATTAGGCGCCTGGCCCCTGAGCAGAACACATCTGGCGTTGTGCTTCTTCTCCTTCCCAATCTGCACTTAAGCCTTAAATTGTCCTTTCACATTACCTGAAGATGAAAGTGGGGTCACCATGGCTGTTTTTATCCATCAAATGCTGTTTTGTGCTCAGGCTTTAAAAGCCCAGTGTAACATCACAATTGAATAGTCAGGATAATAATAGAAATCTTATTTTTCACAGAATAGTCCTTTTTATCACAACAAGTTGGAAGAGGTTACGTAGGATTGTTGTTTTCAGTGGGGTTTTATTGGAATGTTTTCTTTGGGGAACGGTAAGAAGGACTCGAGACCCCTGGAAAAGCCCCCGCCGTGGAAGCAGCCCTAGCACTTACTGTTGTTCATACTTAACGGAGCACCAGCTGTATACCAGATGCTGGTCTAGTGAGCAAAATGCACCTGAGTCCCTGCTTTGCGAGTTTATATCTCATGGGTGGAGGTGAACTAAAGATGAAATAAACAGTTAAGTGCTAATGAGGAAAATAAAGCGAGGTAAGTGAATAGGAAAGTATTAGGTATATGGGGGACGTAATTTGAAATGGGATCCTCTGTGTCCAGCCTGTGATGGGCTCTGCCATCAGGAGTACAAGTCAGTGGTCCAGCCTGTCTCCCTCGGTAAAACCTGGAGCTGCTGGGGTGTTGGGGGCCGCCCTGTGTTCATCCATGTAGACTTGATCTCTTTCCTCCTCTAGGCTCTTTTCTTCAGCCCTCATGTACCCTTTCACAGTTACTTTATCAAGGGCTGCTGTGTGCCAGCCATCCTTTCTTTCATTCATTTCCAGCCCTTTCAGTTACCCTCTAACGTGGGTCTTACCCACCTTGTAGCTGCAGGAACTGAGTCCTGGAGAGTTTTAAGTATCTGGTCCACAGAAAAGGTGTTTGAATCAGGAGTCAAACTCCTATCTCACTCCCTATTTCTTCTTTGCCGCCATGCCCTTGTTGCTCGCGGCACCAGGGAGGTGCCCATCCGTCCTCATGCTCTTGGTTGTAAAAGGAAATTTCTGATGATGACCCACTAGCTTTGTTGTAAAAGTATGCCAAATCCAGTGTGTTTGATTGAGTGATTGGTTTTCTTAGAGTAAATCCGGGTTGTTCTTTTCTTCCCTCTAGGTGTTCCGTTCCTATCGGGCCAATGGATGTGCAGATGCAAAACTCATCTGTCTCACCGTCTGGAAAACTCGTGGTTCAGAGCTCCATTGATTACAGCACATTCAAGCACAACGGCACGGTCGAGTGTAGGGCTTACAACAATGTGGGCAGGAGTTCTGCCTTTTTTAACTTTGCATTTAAAGGTAACAGCAAAGGTATATTTCTTTTTAATCCAATTTTAAGGGGATGTTTAGGCTCTGCCTGCCATGTCAGTCATGATTTTAAGTCCATTCCATCAATGGCCATGTCATTTCTGGTAATTTCTTCATTGTCCCATGCTGTCATCAAACTCACTAAGTTTCATTCTGTACTAGTTCGTTAATGACATGTATGCAGTGATTTTAACCACATACATATTATGTATTTACGTGTGTGTGCACATATGTATGTATGCGTGCACGTGTGTGCGTATGTGTATATAGTGAACTGCATATTTGTAGTTGTTCTCACTAAAAAGGGGGTGGAAAGAGAAAATAGGGAAGTGTATTTGCCTTATAGCCAAATACAACCAGAATTAGGGCAATTTAAAAAGTTAAATTCAATTTAAAATTTTAGTTATTGAAAATCTTGTATTTTAACACATTGCCAGACACTGTATCAGAAGGTTAGCGCTGCTTTTTATGAAGTTATGTCAGTGAGCCATTTCTTTAATGTCTGTAAAATTCGATTCATGAGGGACTACCTCTCCTAACATAAGTTAAATGATCCTTGTGGATAAATTGATGAATTGGTATGAAGTTAGACGACAAAGAAACTGGGCACCTACCTGCGTAGGGCTTAGTTTTTGTTTTCTCGAGTTGGCAAAGACGTGTGCCAATAAGTGGTATACTTTCAGTTTTTGAGTAATGAGGGGAAGAATCCTACATTGTTCTTCATCACAGATTTTTTTTTTTTCTCAGACAGGCAATGAAAAGAACACTTTAAAAATGTTTTCTTGGTTGTAGAAGAAATTCTTGCTCAGTGTAGAAAATTTGGAAAATACAGGAAAGCATAAAGAAGAAAACATAAACCATCCATAAATTTAGGAAACTTCTTAAAGTTGTCCAAGGCAGGAATTTGGTTGAAGTAGGAAGTTCATTCATATGTTGCTTTTTATGGGCAAAGCAGCATAAAATTATTCTTGTGCTACAGAAATCTCTGCTTCCTCAGTAGTCTTGTTTAAAGTTGTTAATTCATTGAATAACCAGAGTAAGGTAATAGTAGCAAGGCAAGGAGCTGATGAGATGCCCTTGGCTTTGAATCCTGCTTGGGCTGTAAGATGGGGGTTGGGTGAGTTTGGGGTTAGGTGGTTGTGGTGAAGATCCATCCCTGCTAATAGCTTATGATTCCACATTCCCCTTTCATTTTAGAACAAATCCATCCCCACACCCTGTTCACACCTTTGCTGATTGGTTTTGTGATCGCGGCTGGTATGATGTGCATTATCGTGATGATTCTTACCTACAAATATTTACAGGTAATCATTCGTTCATTCTCTACCCTAAGGGCTGTAATGATTGAAACATTAATCACTGAAAGATGATGTATATCTCTCCCTCTCTCCCTGACCAGAAACCCATGTATGAAGTACAGTGGAAGGTTGTTGAGGAGATAAATGGAAACAATTACGTTTACATAGACCCAACACAACTTCCTTATGATCATAAATGGGAGTTTCCCAGAAACAGGCTGAGTTTTGGTCAGTATGAAAACGGGCTTTCCGTGTAACCTTTTTGTGTACACATACAGCAGTGATTTTAGGGAACCCCATTAGCTTCCTTTGTTCTGTTCCACCTGAGACAGTAAGTATTTTCTGTGACAGTTGACCACCTTTGATAGATTTCGCATAAAGCACATTATAGAGAAACGTCTCTAGACAGACTTGGCCTTAATTCCTTAACAATTCCTTAATTGTTGACTTTGAAATTACCCGGGTGGTTCGTCGGTCCCACCGCCATCACTTGCTGTCTTCTCTTCCTTTCTGCAGGGAAAACTCTGGGCGCCGGTGCCTTCGGGAAAGTGGTTGAGGCTACTGCATATGGCCTCATTAAGTCAGATGCGGCCATGACTGTGGCCGTTAAGATGCTCAAACGTAAGTTTCTGCAGGCTCCTGCATGCCCTCAACATTGACTTGCCAAATCTGCTCTTTGCTAAGATGAAACATTTTTCTAATTTTAGCAAGTGCCCATTTAACCGAACGAGAGGCCCTGATGTCTGAGCTCAAAGTCTTGAGTTACCTTGGTAATCACATGAATATTGTGAATCTTCTTGGAGCATGCACCATTGGAGGTAAAGCCATGACCAAATTAACTTTTATTATCTTTCAAATTTATCAGAAGAGGGGAGATTTTAATATATTTTCGACAATGCTTGATTATATCCTCTTGCCAGATTTTTACGGGTTGTTACCTCTTGCTAGATTTCACACCCCTGCCCTGAAAAGCTGTTGTTCTTAAGAATGTATATTTTAGTTTTATCATCATGGGGTGGGACAGCCCAGGACATACCCTAGTTACTGGCACGGACGTTGAATTGACGCTGACCTCTTAAGTATCTCGAGAACGTCCCCTCTCATCCAGAAAGCTTTTGTTTTATCTTGCAAGCTTGATATTTTGCCGGATTATAGTCAGTCACTACAGGGTTACTATTCATTTGCATCCCGTAATTAAAGATAGACTTTGAAGCCTACCAGTTCTCAAATACACACCAAATGAGGCAAACACTTCACTTCTGTGAAAAAAACTAAATACCCAGTTTAAAGCAGTTCTGAAGTAGAGCCTTCCATCAAGGATGTCTGGATGTTTCCAGAAAGCATTTTGGTCTAAAGGAACAAAGATGTGTAACACGAGCTCTTCCTCAAGATGTACAGGGATTCACGGTCAAGTTGACAGCTTAGAGAATTTCTTAAAACAGCCCCCATACACGTGGCTTCCACAGCATGACTTGTTCATGAAAGTTTCTGCCCAAGTCAGTTCGTTGCCTGTGAACTTCACAGCGGTAGCGTGAGGCGTATTCACCACACGGAGAAACCCTGGCGCCCGGTTGCACTCAGGAGGCAGGTGATGCCCTGCCGCTCAGGTGCTCACCTGCTCTCCGGGCTCGTCTCAGCTGGCCGTTCCGTGCCGTTGGTTTTCCTATTATGCCGCACTCTGTGCCCTTCGTCATTTCCATAATAACACTGAGAGGGCGTGAAGCCCCGCTACAAACAGAAGTGACTCAAAGGATTCATGCAGGAAATTTGATGAGAGTATAACGTCGAAAGCAGTAACTCTTGTGTGTGAGACTGGCAGTCGTGCCGGGCCCCGGGCACGGACGTCACTTAGAACGAACATCAGGTGCATGGGGGCTTACTGGGGGACTTGTACTCTACAAAATGCTGGCTTTTAGTTGGCTTGGCAATGAACCAGAATGAAAATGGTCATAATCACCCCTGAGTGTATATATGGCAAGATTGTTTATATAGCTCACCTCTTTTTAACCTTCTCTTACATGCCTGTAGGGCCCACCCTGGTCATCACTGAATACTGCTGCTATGGTGATCTTTTGAATTTTTTGCGAAGAAAACGTGATTCATTTATTTGCTCAAAGCAGGAAGATCACGCTGAAGTGGCACTTTATAAGAACCTTCTGCATTCAAAGGAGTCTTCCTGGTAAGACTGATTTACATAAATAGCTGTTGACAGGCAGTTCGTGGGGTCATAAGGGTTTGCAATCAAGGCTGATTCTTTAAACAAATGAACAGAGGTACTTTGAGGCGCCAAATCAGAATTATTAAATCATTTAGATGTCATCAACAATTTAGAAAGTTTGAATAGTGTTTGTAAAGATTTAAGTAGTGTTAAACTTAGATTTTTATTGATTTTTTTTTTTTAATGCATCTTTAGTTTTTTTCAGAGCATTAGTTCTGTTCAGTGGAATGAATTCTGTACCTGTTTCTCTTATCATGGCTCTGTTCTTGTGTGTCATTTCATTTATTCTGTTGGGCTTGGTGCTATATGCATCTCTACAAGCAAGACGCTGCTTATAGAGAAAATGCTAAAGCCTGTCAAGTTGTAAATTTCTTGAAAACCTTTAACAGAATGACAAAAGAGCTCTGAACTTTATCTCTCTGCACGTAGGTTTCTCACCATCTACCTCTGAATTATTCCTGTATACCTTGCCCTTTTTTTTTTTGAACTCATCATGCTATTAAAAGGCACAACGACTCTAGCACATTATTTAAAATTCTGAACCTTATTTTCATCGCTTTCATCTTTAATATCATTCTGAATTTGAATGGTGTATAAAGAGCTTCAGATTCCTTTAAGAACAGTTAGTGTGGCTTACAGCCAGAATGGCATTCTTCTCTCCCATGCCTGGCCTGTTCTTTCCAAAGGTTGAGATCTACCACTGATGAAGATTTCCTGAATTCACCCAGCCCAACAGAAATCATATTCATCATGCCCAGTCCCTTATCCTTTATATTTCTGAAGTTGTGTGGTGGATTTTTCTCCTTCTTATTCATTCTGCCCCCTACGTTTTGAGATGGCAGGACTTTGTTTCTTAAACTTAGCTCCAGGCCCTCAAGAAGACCTCGGCGACTATTACTGATGGACAGTTACCTCTTAAAGCCCTTTTTTGTACCCCTGGCTAAAGTTCTAAAGCCCAGGTGAAGCCTTTTTATTTTACTTTTTTCTAGTCCTGTAGACTGGGGTGGTGTCAAGTGGTAGTAAAATACAGAACAAACCACCTTTTGTTAAGTTTCTCCAGAGCATATGCTCTTTGTATGAGTAAATGAGCCACTTTGCCTTATTTCTAAAACCTTGGCCCCATATCTCTTTCTCAACTTTCTTGAAATAATGTCCCAAATTGTTCAATCCGATGTGGTGTTCTTTGTGCTTTGGGATCCCATATGGGACTGGAACCACCAGCATACTCCGAAGGAGATTGTTGTCATAGTGTTTCTATGCTAATCAGAAGCAGGAAGTACTAGAAATCTTGAAGACTTTCCAGCCAAATGTTGCAGATTCAAGAGGTCCAGATGGTTCAGAAAATCATCCAAATTATTGGTGTTTATCTGAACTAAACTTGGTTTTTTCAAACCTTCTTCCATCAGTCGCTATATGTTAACGATCCCTGCCTTCCCCCCATCACACATCTCAGAAGCTCTTGTTCTTTGTGTCTTTCTTGTCTCTTTCATCTTCTCTCTTGGGGCTAATTTAGAGAGTTTGAGGGAATGGGGGCTAATGTTTTTGGCTCTCTGTTTCCCATTAAATCCCTGGTGTCAAGAAATGGGAAATTTCTAACCTGAGTCCCATCTATGATTGAACACAAAAAAAGACGGTCTCATTCCTGGGCATTGGACCCTAATGTTGAATATTAAAAACGCCTATCTTATGAACAAGATTTTCTTCATTCAAACTTGGTAATACTTTCTTTGAACAAAATCAGCCTCTTGTGTAAAAAAGGCAGTGGGGAGATAGAGCCTGCCCCATGGGTACCCCCCTGTTTCCCATTTTATTCAGTCCTGATTTGATGGATGGATATTTCATCTCTCACAGCAATGATAGTACTAATGAATACATGGACATGAAACCCGGAGTTTCTTATGTTGTGCCAACCAAGGCAGACAAAAGGAGATCTGCGAGAATAGGTGGGTACCTATGAAACAATAAAAACAACTTCATTTACAGAGGATTTCTCATACCGCTGTGAAATATACTAGCATTCCCCAGAGTGACTGTTTGTTTCTTCTTTCCAATAGGGACCAATGGCAATGCCACTGGTCAGTGGCAGTTAAGGGTTCCAAGTGGGTATCAGAGCATTTGTTTATTGTATAGGGGCATCTCACTGCATAGATGAAAAATATATGTGTTATCAGATGTGTATTTTGCATATTTTATTGATCCACCATCCTCCCTGGAAGCCCCAGATCGTGACTATTAGCTTTGTGCTTGGGCACTTACCTTTCCTCAACGCTGGGCAGGTGACTTGCCTGCATATTCACATCAGTTCCTTCCTTACCAGCCTTTGGTATCCTTGTCACTGTCTTCCGTTTTCCGCACTTTGAGGTTTCATTGCTAAGAAAGTCCTTCTCCTAACAGGCTCATACATAGAAAGAGATGTGACTCCCGCCATCATGGAAGATGACGAGTTGGCCCTGGACCTGGAGGACTTGCTGAGTTTTTCTTACCAGGTGGCCAAGGGCATGGCATTCCTCGCCTCAAAGAATGTGAGTGGGTGTGGTTCTCGGAGCAGAATGCCCTACCCCCCAACCCCAACCCCAGTGGAGCATTTTAGAGCCCTAGTTAGAATACACAGTCTCATTTGGAAGTGTGGTAACCCAAAACAGAGGAAATTGAGTTTCTTCATGTTCCAACTGCTGTCTCTTTGGAATTCCTATTCTCATTTATAAGCTTTAAAGTGCAAGCCTGTCTAAATGAGCTTTCTATGAATATTTTTTTTTTATGCAGTGAATTCATTTAAAAATTTTGGCTTTCAGGATACAGGAGCTGCTCTTAGAAAATAGAGAGAGAATGATTTCATCAGCAAAAGGAGGGGTTGCCTCACGCACTTGCAGTGCTTGGTGAAGCACGTATTTGGGTTTTATTGGAAGTTTAGACCTCAGTTATTGTATGGGTTCATGAAGTATGGAGGAATAAGGAATCAGAGAGAATAATAAGCATTTGGGAAAAGAGATAGGGTTGGGAAGAGAATGATGGAACCAAAGCGAGGAACATAGTCTCTGGGAGAGTGAGAGGAATTCCCTAGCATACGGGACGAGCAGACTAGCAGGAGGTAACAGATCCTACCCTTAAGTGTCATTGGTGACATTTCCAAACAATTACCAAACCGAGAGAGTATGGTATAAGATGGCTGAAATAAGGAGCCTTTTCCCTGTGTCCTTGGGAGACATCAAATTGGAGTTGCAAAGACATTTTAAAAAAACTCTATAAAAGGACATTCAAAGAGAAGCATGCAAAATGAGTGTTCGGTTTAAAAGATACGATATGACTATTTATAATGTATTTTCCTATGAATGAAAGCAGTCCTAAGGAGGGAAAAAGAATTTATTCGAGTTGGTTTGGAAAATGATTATCGTAATGAAGGTCCTAACGATGTGAAACACAAATTTTGAACATCATTCAAAGCATGATTTAGATCTTTATTTTTGGTGCACCGAATAGTTTCAAAGCAAAGCCAAGGTACTGGATTTGTGTGACAGAGCGGCATTCTAGTGTTGAACGTAGTTTTCATTCTTGAGTTTAAAATAAATGTAAATGGTTTTCTTTTCTCTCCCACTCTCCTAATAGTGTATTCACAGAGACTTGGCTGCTAGAAATATCCTCCTTACTCATGGTCGAATCACAAAGATTTGTGATTTTGGTCTAGCCAGAGACATCAAGAATGATTCTAATTATGTGGTCAAAGGAAACGTGAGTACCCACTCTCTGCTTGACAGTCCAGTGAAGGATTTTAGTTTCAAGTTTTCCTAAGAATTGCTTCTTACGAGTTTCCTAATGCAAATCCTACCTTTGAGATAGCATGCATTTTAGCAGTCAAATTAAGGGTACTTCAGCAAAATTTGCATGGTATACTGAACATTACTACAACTAACATTCCGATAATAGAATTCCTAATTCTAATTGTGTAATTATGGGGCATGTGAAAGAAACAGAAATAGCCTTAATTTTCATTATAGCCTGAGAATAGCAATGAACTCTATTTTGTTCAAGTGAAACAAATGTGGGCCTGAAGGTCACAGCAGGGGAATTTTATTTGGAGATTGACATGCTATGTGAAAAAGATTAAAATCTAAGATAATGTTCAGAATTAGGTATGTAGAATGTTGGATCTTATAATCAATAGACAGCATATTAAATAGGTCCATAAGTAATAATTGGGTTAGAGAACATACTGATTTTATTACAGAGTGCTTTATTTCCTTGCCAGTTCTCACTGTATCATCAGAACAACCCCCTGCCATGTCTTCACATTTTCAGAGTTGGAGAAACTAAAGCTCAGTATATTTTACATATTTTAGTAATAAACATCACTCATTCAGAGATGACACAGGTCAGGTAAGGCTGAAACCAGAGCCCATGATCTCCAAAGCAGCATCCTATTACTGTGGGAAGCCATATAGTCCTGTGTATATCTTCTTCTACGTCTATTTGCCCAGGCCCATTTCCCCAGTCTGGATTTATTCCTGGAGGTAGCTATTTATGTGCCTTAGGATAATGTAATATTTTCTCCTCTGTCACCATGGCATCTCTATGGGAAGGCTGTACTTGACTTGGTTTTGTAGAAATGTTGCTGGCTTTCCTTCCTGATCAAACCATATATTTCTTTTTTTTTTTTTTTTTAAGATTATTTATTTATTTATTTATTTGAGAGAGAGAGCAGGGGCAGTGGGGAGGGGCAGAGGGAGAGGGAGAAGCAGACTCCCCGCTGAGCAGGGAGCCTGATGCAGGACTCAGTCCCAGGACCCTGAGATCATGGCCTGAGCCGAAGGCAGCTGCTTAACAGACTGAGCCACCCAGGCGTCCCCTCAAAGCATGTATTTCTCATAAATCTCAGATTCTAAGACTAGATTTCATCATTATGAGGGTTAATAGAACCAAGTTCTCTCCATCCTGGTGCATGCACTATTGGAAGAAAGAACGAGGGGTGATTCCTTATCCAGGCCTTTGAATATTGACAGAAGGGCATGAGGAGGAAGGCAGCAGGTTCTGGACCCAGTCTTGCCAAGTTCAAATCTGGTCCCATCATTTGGTGGCGGTATGATATTTGGCAAGAATTACCCAATGCCTGTCAACCTTGCTTTCTTTCCTCCTCTTGGGAATGGTCCTGTCACCTGCCTCATAAAGTTGTGTGGATTAAATGAGTTGACCTATGTGACGTGCTTAGGACAGTGCCAGCCACTTTGCAGCTAGTACAGCACTTGTTCTTACTGTTACAGATGTCTTGATTTGGAATATAAATAATCATGACAGTGGTTACGCTGCAGCTTCTTAATAGCTTGTTACTGGTTAGGGACCTTAGTTGGAATGAACAAGTTAGGTCCCACCAGGCTTCTAGATTGGGGGCTCCAGCCCAGGTCCATTGAGCTAACCAGTGAAGACCCCTCTTCACCAGGCTCACACAACATGTTACCGCCCCAAATTTGCTCGTCATGTGACATCTCCCTGTGTCAGCTTCTCAGAAAGTTCTTCCACTCCACATGGCTTCTTGGTCATTTTTCTGCCGTGGCCCCTTCCACAGTCTGGTGAGGCCAGTTGGAGCCCTTGTCAGAATGTTGTCGCAAATGCATAAAATCTACAGGATTACCAAGAAATGCAGTTCAACTGGAATATAGTTCTCACATTATTGAAAAGTCAGTATTTGACGTCAATCCCTGTGCTTTTTTGTTACACAGAGTAACCTATTCTAGCTGTGGGTCTAAAAACTGCTGTAATTTCGAAGTGATGGTGATATAAACACTAATAATGATGAAGGTGTATGTGGTTACAAAGTCACAGGAACTGCTAAGATTGCTGGGCTTTATTGCCTTTATTCACAACTTAAGAACATGCTAAACTTTACTTAGAAGTTGGTGAAAACAAGAATGTCATGTTTTTACCGTCCAAGTTCACAGGCCCCTGAATCCAGGACACATGTAGTAGAGCTCAGGTTAAGAGCCGCCCTGTAGGAGCTTTAGCATAAATTCTGGGAGGAGATACTAGAAGCCTGGCTTGCTTGCTTGCTTTTTTTCTGCTGGCTAAAGTAACTTTTAACACTAGAAAAAAAATTGTCTTCCCAGTTTTCAATCCTAAAGGGATTAAGAGAAGGATTGATCTAGTTTTTTATGGTAGACTAAGATCCAGGAATCCAGAATGTCTGTAAAAGGAATAGTCACAGCAATTTTAGCTTGATTTTAGCAGAAAGGGTTCAGGATGTGAAGTTCAGCTGTTGAATTTAAAGCCTGATCTGCTGCTCGCCACCTTGGAATCATCATGGTCACCATAAGCCACTACCGTTCATTGTGTGCTTGCTTAGGCAGGGCAACTGTTCAGAGGTCAGTGAGTCAGCAGTACTGTGCTGAGCACTTCTGCCCACATGATCTCATTTAACCCGCAAAACAGCTCATGAAATTTGAAACATTATTTTTGCTTTATGGAAGAACATATTGAGGCTTAATTACAGATACTTAAGTGACATTTCCAGTGTATTTGTAAAGGATAGTTTGGGTGTGATTATGACAGAAGACCCCAAAGAAAAGTAAAGGAAGTATAGTAACAGTAGGCCAGGGCTGGTGTAGAGCACCAGGATCAGATTGTTCTACTCTTCCATTTTCTCACCATTGCTGGTGTAGCCCTCGTTCTTGGCTCAGGATGGCCTCTAGATAGCCAGGCACCACAGCCAGAAGGCAGGATGGAGGAGGGACGAGAAGGAAAAGGTCAAGGGGCAACTGCCAGCCATGTCTTTAAGAAGGCTTTCCTACAGCTACCATATTATACTTCTCACTTAGTGGCCAAACCTGAGTCACATGGCGATGCTAAGCTGCAAAGGAGCTGGGAAATGTAGTTTTTATTGTGGGAGGCCATGTTTCTCTTGTTGGGGAAAACGTATTCTGTGGTAACTAACAAATCTCTGTGTTACTCAAGGCCAGTGATGGAGCCAGATTAGACCCCATGTGTCTGTCCCTGACATCTGTGCTCTTAACCACCACGCTGTATTGACTCAAGGTCGCCATTTTTTTTTTTTTTTTTAAGATTTTATTTATGTGAGAGAGAAATAGCATGGGGCGGGGGGCAGAGGGAGAGGCAGACTCCCCACCGAACAGGGAGCCCCATGCGGGGCTTGATCCCAGGACCCAGAGGTCATGACCTGAGCCAAAGGCAGACGCTTAACCGCCTGAGCCACCCAGTTGCCCCTCAATGTCCCCATCTTGAAAATGGGGATAGTACTGTTTGAACCACCTATTTCAGAGGTAGGAAGAGTCATCTGAGTCATAGGGTAAAAGGCCTTTGTGAGATGGCAGTCACCTTCTTACCCTCACCCCCTCAGCACGAGCGATGGCTGTAGGAATATTTTCTATTCAGCTTTTTTTTTGAGCTTCTTAATTAACATTGCCAAATGTGTTGTGCTTGTGTTACAGGCTCGGCTGCCTGTGAAGTGGATGGCACCTGAAAGCATTTTCAACTGTGTGTACACATTTGAAAGTGATGTCTGGTCCTATGGGATTTTTCTGTGGGAGCTGTTCTCTTTAGGTAAAACGCCTTGCAAAGGCACCTTGGTTAGACTCTGAGCATCTTCTTTAAGGTTTTATCAACGTCCTGTTTATTAACACTGATTTGCGAACCGTTTGTGCCTCAGGAAGCAGCCCCTACCCCGGGATGCCAGTTGATTCTAAGTTCTACAAGATGATCAAGGAAGGGTTCCGAATGCTCAGCCCTGAGCATGCACCTGCCGAAATGTAAGGGCCGAGATGTTTTCCTTCAGATCATGCTTCCCCTTTTATTTTCCTTTTCGAAGACAGAAACCCGGGTGTGGGGGGTTTTCACTAGTACAGTCTGAAATATCAACGTCTCCTGGTTCCTTTTTATGACATCCTGATCAGATGCCATTTCTGTAGCTTATTTTCATAATCTTTTGTCAGCAAATATGCAGAAAGTTTCAGCAGCCTTTCATAGGTACAGTGTTTTATTTCATGCCCGTGCCATTCCGTATGCCCAGTTGCCCGGCCCTGGAATGATATTTGAGATGGTCGCATGAAGTACACTCTGAGAAGCCAGGACAGGGGCGTTGAGGGGTGATTGGAAATGGCCCTTGCTTTGCAGGTATGACATCATGAAGACTTGCTGGGATGCTGATCCCCTAAAAAGGCCAACGTTCAAGCAGATCGTGCAGCTCATTGAGAAGCAGATTTCAGATAGCACCAATCATGTGAGTACACTCCGGCCCCCTCTCTCAGACCCAGTGCTTCCTTCTCAGGCTCTGGGGGCTCTGGGACCCTCCCTTCTCTCCTTGGCTTAGGTGGCTTGGGCTTCGGGTAGGCAGGAAAAGCAAGGGAAACAGGTTCTTTCTGCCCGACCCCCATTCTGCCATAAAGATGTCAGATGAGGAGGAAAAAGAGTGAAGGGCTTTGCACACAAAGTGTGGAGGCAGAAGCTTCCAAACGGATTTGCTGTGTTTCCTCCCCCACCTCAGATGCTGGTCATGGGGTCGGCATGTTCTCTGTCTCACGTGTCCGGCCCATTCAGCCTCTCAATGGCTGGGGTAATGTGAGCTAGAATGAAAGCATAGAAGAGACAGCTTGTTACGGCAGGGAAATAAGCCTTCTGCTCAAACAGGCATAGCCAGAAAATGGCATCTAGCTGTCATGCCCACAAGCCATATAGAATGAAGAGCTTTTTGAGGTTGGGAGATCCCTGCCAGTGATTCGAGGAGGTGTGGGGGTGCTGGGGATTCAAAACTCAAATCCATTATTTCTTTTTCTGCTCTTAAGGAAGAATTGGTGATCCTTTAACTCAGATTTTTTTTTTTTTAAGCTGCTTTTTTGATGGATCGTATGCTTGGAACTATCCTTTCTAAGAGTGTATCACTGATATTTTTGGGATAAAGCTTGCTCTTCTGGGTGTCAGACCATGTTTCAAATTAAACAGCATTTCCCACCCATGTGTTTAATTCTCAATGGAAGACCCCTGGAAGGGCCACCGATTTCCCAGCAAATGACATCAGCCATTGGGTTATAGTTGGCCGTAGCAGTTTTATAAACCCTTTTCATTAGTTTATTTAGATAGTACTTGATCCCAGATATATCTCAGCAGAAAAGCACTTTTTTTTTTTTTTTTGCCATCACTTCTTATGTATCAGAGTTTGGGGGAAATGAGGGATAAAACAAAGCTTATGTTTTCTTTTGTCCATATGATTGGGGTTTTGGCCATGAAAATCTTGTCAGTCTCCTCTCTTTCAAAGAGGCTTTGTAAATGACTTGTGATCCCAAAGCTGCAAACACGCACGCGCACTCTGTCGCTGTGTTCGTTGCAGGGACCGGCGTATTAACCGTGGACTTGTTTTCCTCAGATTTATTCCAACCTAGCAAACTGCAGCCCCCACCAGGAGCGTCCTGTGGTGGACCATTCTGTGCGGATCAACTCTGTGGGCAGCAGCGCATCTTCTACCCAGCCTCTGCTGGTTCACGAAGATGTCTGAAGCAGGAGGCGTGCCGGGGGAGGGGGGGGGGTCCTCCCCCAACAGGAACGATCCCTGTTCTTTTGGTTTCTATACTGGTTGTTTTGTTCTCCTTCAGCTTGCATCCTATTCCAGAGTAGTAGACACGCCGCTGTAATCCTGTCTTGACGCACACACTTTAGTGGCCAGTGATTTTTGTTACCAGCCACCATCCCTTTTAAGAGTTCAGACTGCATCTTCTACTCCCCAGAGCCAGGCAGCCCCCATTAATGAAAACAAAATAATAATACAGACTTGGGAGCAAGGGAGGGTGGGATGGGCTGGACACCTTGAGTCCTTACCAAGACTTCTCCGATTTGTTTGAAAAGCATCGCTGATAGTTTATTTGAATAAATGGCAGTAGTCACCTTCGGGCCTCCTAACCATCCATAATGATACGATGATGCCGCAAGATTAGAAGCTGAAACCTGATCTCTCGATGTGGAACATGGAATGTTATTAGAACAAAGGGCAGAAGTCTATGAATATCTGGGCTTAAGAAATCTACTATTTCATGCTGGGAATGAGACATAGGCCATGGAAAAATGCTCCCCAAGCATGAATAAAGACACGCTGCTGGGCATGAGCCTTTGTGCTACTGACCGGGTTTGTAAATAGCTTTTGCCGTTAGGACGCTGAATTGGAGAGAAGGCCTCCCCAGCCAGCATTTGTATATACTCATCTATACATCGTACATGTTCGTATATTTGAGGGGGGGAAACCCACACGGTGTCATTTCTGGATACGACCCTGGCTCAAGTCTGCTGTGTGTAGAAATAGATGAAGAGCCAGACAAGTTTGAAGGAAACAGTATTTTCTGTTTTGTTTTTAAAGAAAAAAACCATAATTGCCAAGCACAATCTTAACAAAAATCTTTTGTAGCCTATGAACTTGCTCCCCAGATTCTTCAGAACAAGCCTACCAGCTTCAGAATGGCATTGTGCTCAATGGATTCAATGCCATTGGAAAAAGTGACTGATTCACTGCATGACTCCCGCAGGAGGGACAAAACAATGCTGTTTTAGTTTGGATTCTTCGGTAGCCAGAAATTAAATTTAGATTCAGCCTCCTCTGCAGGCATGTCCTGGACGCCGGGCCAGTACCTATATAAGAGTGTGTGTGTGTGTGTGTGTGTGTGTGTGTGTGTGTGTGTGCGCGCGCGCGCGCGCTTATAGACAAATATTTGGGGGGCGGTATTCTTGCCTTGATCCCAAGAGGGCCCTTCAGTACTCAAGAAGTAGCTTGGCCTTCATCATCAGTACTGCTTTTGTTTCTCTTCACCTAGCTGTCTGGAGGAACTTCCCAGAAGCTTACATAGCATCCCCATAGGAAGCAGAGTGCTTAAATACTTATTTATTTGCAATCCACCTACACCTCAAGCACCCCGTTGTTTATACTGAACATACTACACCCACTCCTTAGACCTAAGGCTACTCTCCTGCTAAAGCATATTTAAATTTTACCCTTTAGGCTGTAGCCTGGATATTATTCTTAAGAGTTCACTTTTTTTTTTTTTTCCCAACTCACTGCCCAACTGTCAAGAGGTCCATGTGTGTGCCACAAGGTTTGTGTGTTGTCTCGCAAGATTCAGGTATGCTGCCTTCACGGTTCCCCCTCCTGGGTCCCTTAGACTACGTTTAGAGAACTGTGGTCATTTATCTGGAAGTAACCATTTGCACTGGAGTTCTATACTCTCGCACCTTTCCAAAGGTAACAGGTTTTGGGGTTTTGTCGTCACATGAGAGATCATCACTGTTTGCCATCCTTTGTCGGAACATTTCCTTTGTGTTTCTATTGCCTTTGATTATAGTCAGAAAAGTGGTTGTTAATTATAGATGTCTAGGTACTTCAGGGGCACTTCACTGAGAGTTTTGTCTTGGATATTCTTGAAAGTTTATATTTTTATAATTTTTTTTTTACATCGGATGTTTCTTTTCAGTGGCTTAATGTTTGAAATTATTTTACGGCTTTTTTTGTAAATATTGAAATGTAGCAATAATGTCTTTTGAATATTCCCAGGCCCGTGAGTCCTTGAAAATATTTTTTATATATACAGTAACTTTATGTGTAAATATGTAAGCGGTGCAAGTTTAAAGGATGTTGGTGTTCCATGTGTTTTTTCCTGTTATGTTGTCCAATTGTTGACAGTTCTGAAGAATTCTAATAAAAATGTACATATATAAATCAAGTAGAATTTTTTGATTATTTCTTCAAGCTTTAGTGAAACTCAACTTTGAAGTGTTAAAGTGCATTCACTCTGATAGAAAGTTTGCTCCTGGTATGCCTAAGATAGAAGCAAGACCATCAGATCGCAAGGATTTATATACTTGAAGATTCAACAGATATTAAGAATTTAGTGTGTGCTGTATTTCCTCATTTTATTTTTACAACCCAAGGTCTCCATTTAAACTGAAAAAGAAATATAGGAAACATTTTGAGAAGACTATACATTGCTATCATTATTATTAGGTTGATTTGTGTGAAATGACCGTTTTTGTGGGCAAAATGATAGCTAAATAGCCATTTCATGTGGTTTAGTCTAATATAACTGGCATGTTTCCTCCTAAAAGAGATTGTCTAAAAATGAACATGAACTGTAAAGTAATCCACAGGGTTGACATGAGGACTCCCAGGAAAATGGTTTGTGTTCCTGTTGGCTTGGATTTCAAAGAGATAAAGATTAGTCCATCGTGAGATGTTCATGCTCTACCCTTCAACCATTATTCTCACTTGCTTCCGGAACAGTTGAGCTCTATCACTTGCTTGGAGGAAGGTGATTTGTGCCCATTAGTTGGGTCCTTTCTTGTGGCTGGAGCATCCTTCATGATTCTGAAGTGCTGTCCAGACCAGCGGAACCTGCCCAGGGCCTGAGAGACCTCCCAGCCTGAAACAGCAACCGTGAACCACGGAATCCTATTACAAATGAGTTAGGCGCATAAAACACCATCAGCTTTGATTGTCTTTATTGATGTGGCATCTACACCTGCCAAAATAGTATCTCCATAAAGGAAAGGGGAAGGAGGGGTGAAAGGTGTGACCTACAAGGAAGAGGACTCCCTTTGCAATCAGGAGGGAATCTTGTGGCCGGGAACACTTCAAGAGTCAGTGAAAAACAGCCACATTTCGGCCAAGCATTTTCCATTATTATATTACAGACAGGAATGAATGCCAATTGACCACAAAACAAAGAAGTCCTTTCTTGCTGAAGGTTTTCAATGTCATTGAGACTTTTTCATGTGGTAAAATCTTGAGTTAAAAGCAGTCAACGGCCCCTGTATTATTAGCCTGTAGTTAGTTCCCTTGCAGGTCCAGCTTTTAATCACAAAGTAGCATCAGGTGCTTGGTGTCCTGGCTCAAACGGGATTCAAATCCTAGTTCCAGCGTTGTCTCATGACCACTTACTGCTGTGTGATACTGGGCAGTTGGCTCTTGAAATCTTAGTTTCCAGTTTCCATAATAGCATAATCTGCCTAGACCACATTCTTATGCCTGATACATAAATAGTGCTCACAAACAGTAACTTTTACATGGGCTATTAGGCTTACTAGGAGCAAAGACGATGCTCCCATACTAGCATAACCCAGTTGGTATCCCATGTGGAACTGTACGGTCAAAATTTGCTTCTAGTTGCTTCTCTCCTGAATGCAAATAATATCGCACTAGTTTGCTGTGAAACTTGACTTTGCTATGGAGATTTCTGTCATTCTATTAAAATCCCAACTTTGTACCCAGGAATTCAGGGCTCCCTATTGACCAAGCCCTCCTTCCTGGCTTCTCTTACATTACCATAGACCCATGAATATGCCCCACTCTTTCTGCTCCCACCTTTCAAGACCAGGGAAATGATCTCAATTGGAAGTTGCCTTTCAATTCCCATGGCATTCTGTACCCGTATTTCTTACTGCTCTTAAAACCTCTTCTGCCTTGTACTGTAATAATTTTGGTTCTTGTATCTCCTCCCCACCCCCACTCTGTCCTATCTTAAAATCAGGTAACCTAAAATACCTATATGTGCTAGGATTGCTAGTTTTATTGGTTATCATTTACTTGTTAAAATATTTATCCAAACATTCAGAGGTTAAATTGCTCAAGAGGCTGTGAGAGGTTAAGACTTGCCTAAGTTCACTTAGTAGACATGGAGCCAGAATTTGGATCCAGATCAGAGTCTGTACTTTGGTGGTGGCAAATATGGGTCTTCCCGTGCTGGCATCCCCCACTGCATGTCCGTGCGGACATCATTCATCTATCACTCTTTCTCATGGAGCCAAGATGATGCCTTAGAAATCCCAGTTTTCTCCAGGAAGCCCATACAAATCTACTGGACTTAGCCTAAGGAAAGACTTAGCTGTCCCCCTTAGATGATTACCACATTCTGGCTTTCTTGAGACACAGGTGGTCTCTGTCTCAGACACTCCTGAAGCTTCTAGCACAGTGCTTCATGAGTGATTAGTTAATACTTTTGAATGAATAATTAAACATCCCATCAGCATGGAGTAAGGGAGAGCCATCTGGGAAGACATGGGCCCGGGAAAGACAGGAAATCGCAGAAAACAGAACTTTTACCCAGAGTGGGACCTGGGAGGGCGGCTTCATTTTACACGCACTAGAGGTGCGGCTTTGCGGAGAAGGGGAAAGGGGAACTAGGAAAGTTCTTTTGTGCAGGCTTGTCGAGGTGTGCACGGCTGCTTTGTGGGAATGAGATGAGAAGTAGACGGGGGACTTGGGTGGATGGGGAAAGGTGGGGAGGAAGGGAAAGTGGCGGAAGTTCTCTTTCCTTAGGTGGAATGGGGAAATGCACTGAAGCTGCCAACAAGTCCCTGGGCTGAAAGGACAGAGACTGCAGGCGGGAGAGCTCCCCCATTCCAGGCTTGATCTTGGGAGAGGGTCAGTGGGGGTAGCATCTGCATGAGGGGTCTTGGGGCCAGTGGGGCTGTAGCAGGAAGTACCAGCTGGTCTGCGTTCGAGAGAGTTTTTGGGAAGGGAAGTATTAGTCTTCTGGGGCTGCTGTAACAAAGCACTGCATGCTGCGGGGTGTAAACAACAGAGATGTATTGTTTCAGTTCTGGAGGCCAATGTCCAAGAACAAGGTATTGGCAGAGTCGGTTCCTTCTGAGCGCTGTGAGAGAATCTGTCCCGTGCCTCTCTCCTAGCTTCTGGTGATTTGCTGGCCATCTTAGGCATCCCTTGGCTTGTAGACTCTGCCTTCTTCATATGGGGTTCTTCCTCCATGTGTATGTCTGTGTCCAAATTTCCTCTTTTTATAAGGATAGCAGTCATGTGGGATTAAAGGCTACTCCACCGACTGAGCCACCTAGGTGTCGCTCATTCTTGAGCAGTATTTTCACTGGAAATAGAATTCAACAACAGCAGTTATATTCAGCGCATTCATCTCAGCACAGTTGTTTCCACTCTTTTCTCATTTCCATCGTCACTGTTGAGAAGTCGGATCAGTTTTATTCTTTTGAGGAAGTTTTCATTCTTTCTTTGTTGATTCTAACATTGTCTCTTTGTCTTTGGTCTTCGTAGTGTCACTATAGTGTGTCTAAACTCGAATTTCTTTCCATTTATCTTATTAGGGATTCTTTGGCTTCTAGAATCTGTGGACTGGTGTCTTTCATCAATATTGGGACGTCCTTACTCCTTTTTAAGTTACCTCTACCCGTCGTGTCATGTTTCTCTTCTCCTTCTGGAATTCCGGTTCAGTGCACCACAGAGACTCTTAACTTTGTTCTCAGTGTCTCTTAATCCAACTTTCATATTTTCCTTTTTTTTGTCTTTTTATGCTGCACTGCATGCAAGGCGGTTTCTGTTCTTTCTGTCATCTGAATTCCCCTTCAGCTTCTGTCCATGGAGAATTTTTTTAGCATTTTTATTGAGGTATAATTAACATACCATAAAACCCACTCATTGTAATTTCAGTGATTTTATTAAATTTATAGAGTTCATCCATCCCTGTGATGCAGTTTTAGAACATTGCCATCATCCCCCCCAATACTCTCATACCTGTTTGTAGTTAATAGATATTAAAATGATTTCAATGAATTAATTTTCAATTATTCTTGCCTTGTAAGATGACACCACACACCTGACTCTCTATTACAGCACACACATGCTCATCGAGTCTCACTTATTGTCTCTGGGATCTTTC